CCTGAGAATTTATCTCAGTGAGTTAATTCAAGGAAAGTGAGAGATTGCAACTATGGGCAGAGGTTTTGAAACCATGAAGCAAATAATAAGAAACAACCTGAAAGACAACAAAAGGGTAACAGTTAGAAGCCATATCAGCATGACAGAATTCTCTGCCATGGCTAAGATGATCAGTGTTAACTACAAACACAGGGTGACTGTTTGCATAACATTGGAAGAAGGAAGTGATCACAGAATTTTATATGTGTTTTAGTGACTTTATAAGCCATCGACATATATTGCCTGGCTTTCTCTGATTGTGGATTATGTGTGACTTCTTGAGATTTACTTTTAGGTATTATAAAGTAGGTTACTACCAAACAAAATTTATGTTTGAATTAGGTGTGACGAGAGCTTGCCTTTCTGCACTCTGGTCTCAGCCCCTCAGGATCCCTAAGTCCCAGTGACTCCAGCCAACCCTTTTCACACTCTCCTCCTTTGTACCCAAGGCCCTGATTTCTGTCCTGTTCATGACACGTTATAGTGGACAGTGTCTAAGGGCAGGTATCTTGTCTCTCTAAACTGGCAGCATGGTGTCTGCCACATGCTTGTCATTTAAGGAATGTTTGTGAGTTGTGTGTGTGTGTCTAAAACATGTACTTGACTCTTCTCTCCCCTCGGTTAGGGTCCTCATTGGGCAAGAAAGGGGAGAAGGCAGGAACTCTCCTCAGTGCAATGAGGAGTGTGGCAAACACTTAACTATTTTGTTTTTAAATTTCCGAAGCCTCTTCAAAATGTTTCTCACGTTGTAGTGTGTGCTGCATTGCCCCCGAGCGCCAGCTCCATGGGGATGCCACACGAGTGCACATCAGTCAGAGGACAGCCGCCGGCAATATGCACCAAACGCCAGAGTGCACACCATGGGAACATACTTTCTGCTATCCCTATATTAAAAACCACACAAGAATAGGGGCCTCCCTGGTGGCACAAGGGGTTAAGACGTAACCTATGAAGTTGTCCGCAGCACCAGTTTGATCCCTGGCCAAGGAGATACCCACACGGCTCAGCAGACCTCTCCTGACTCACCTGCTGATCCTCTCAGCAGTGTATTTCAGTCAATCTGCCTGTTCTGCTCCCCACTTTATCTCTGGTGAATCTTCTCACCCTGCCCCCCTCAACCTGGCCTAAACCCCAGTTCTTGTATGCATAAATAAAATAAATCTTTAAAAAAAAAACCCACACAAGAATAACTTTTAAACTTTCCCTTTCAAAATATAATATACTTTAATTTTAAGGAATTTTAAGGGCCTCTTAAACTCTCAAGCCAAGTGATTATGTGAGATGGAAGAACATGAGAAAATTCATGTTCTTAAGTTGACTCTTCTGCACATTGTGTATTTTGAACAAACCTTTTTTTCTCTCTGGGCCTGTAAAACGAAGGGGTTGAACGTGACGTTGTTAAATCAAAGGTCCCTCTGGCTCCTGCAGAGTCTAAAAATCACGAAGCCTAAACCCGTTTGAACCCAGCGTGCATCTACTCCTGTCTTTGGTGAGATGGAGCTGAGGGCGCAGCGGGAGCTGCTAGTGAACTGACTTTGCTGCCTTATGCGGGTTCCCTCTGCTCCTGGAATAGGTTGGCATCTGCTCCTTGTTCTCTCCAGGTGGAGGTGACAGTCACAAGCAGCGGGAGGGTGTGATGTCTGGGGCTGACGGAGGAACCCACCACTGCAGTCTGTTGTCATTTAGACCTGTTGCTCCTTTGGTGAACGGCCGTGTTTTTGCAGAGGGGGTTGAAACACGAGCACTCTCATAAAATGCTTTTATCCTGCAACTCGCTTCCTCCAAGCGAGGAAGACTCCAAAGCCCACCATCCCTCCCGCGGGAGCTGCCCGGTGGCTCCACCCACCCAGCCCGGAGTGTTGGAGCGCTGCCTTTGGCTCTGGCCACCAGAGGGCGCTCCTGAGACGTGGAAACCAGTGGTTGCATTGTTGGTGCCTGGGTCACTTCGCCAGAACATCTGGACTTGCTGAAGTCATTCTCCACTTCAGTGGTTCTCAACCCGGGACAATTTTTTTCCTTAACACCCCCACCCCCGCGGGGATATTTCACAATATCACTGCATGTATGGGGACAGTGCTGCTGGTGTTGGGGCCAGGGATGCACTAAACCTCTGAGAGCACAGCACAGGACCCCATAACAAAGAACCATGGGGCCTCCCTGGTGGTGCAGGGGGTTAAGCACAGCACTGTCAAGCTATCCGCAGCCTCTGCAGTCTCCGCAGCACGAGTTCAATCACTGGCCACCAGGGAGATACCCACATGGCACAGCAGACCTCTCCTGTCTCCCCCGCTGCTCCCCTCAGCAGTGTTTTCAGTCAGTCTGTCTGTTCTGCTCCCCACTCTGTCTCTGGTGAATCCTCTCACTCCCCCAAAACCTTGGCCTGTACCTCAGTTCTTGTATGCATAAATAAATAAATCTTCTTTATTTATACAAGCACTGGGTACAGTCAGAAGTGAGGGAAGGTGAGAGAATTCACCAGAGCCAGAGCGGGGAACAGAACGGGCAGAATGATGAAATACACTGCTGAGAGGAGCAGCGGGCAGGGCAGGAGAGGTCGTCGTGCCATGTGGGACCCTTGCTGGCGGCCGGGGATTGAACTGGCGCTGCAGAGGCTGTGGGCAGCTTCTCAGCCCAGCGCTCAACCGCTGCGCCACCAGGGAAGGCCCAAATAAATAAATCTTAGAAAAACAAAACAAAAATAGGGCCTCCCTGTTGGCGCAGGCGGTTGAGCGCCACACTATGTGGCTGTCCGCAGCTTCTGCAGTGCAGGTTCGATCCTGGCCAGCCAGGGAGAAACCCACATGGCACAGCAGACCTCTGTTGTCTCCCCCGCTACTCCCCTCAGCAGTGTATTTTGTCAGTCTGCCTGTTCTGCTTCCCACTTTGTCTCTGGTGAATCCTCTCACCCTCCCGAGCATCTGGCCTGTACCCTGGTTCTTGTATAAATAAATAAATCTTAAAAAAAAAAAAAAAAAAAAAACTAACAAAGAACCATGCAGCCCCAAATGCCAGTGGTGTCAAGGCAGAGGGACTCTGTCTCTCTGAATCTGCTGTCTAAACACAGTTTTATGTTCTCTGGAGCTGAGTCTTCGGTCTTGGGAAGTCTCATAACAGTGACCACAACGCTTAGTTCATTGTCTGAAACGTGGGGATCACAGCAAGACCACTGAAGAGGAGAAGGGGTTAGGCAGGGGGCACTGGGAGGCCCCATCATGGAGGCCTATGGCCTCCTCTGAACTGGGCGCATGCCCCATGACAATGGGCCAGTTCCTTGTGCTGGAGCCAACAACACTGGCTCTTTGTCTTCCCAAAATGGGCAGGGCGATGGGAAAGTCCCCGGCTGGGCTGTGTCCTTCCTGCAGGGCCTGGGGTGGGTCTGCAGCTTTGGAAGTTAGTGAGAAGCAATTTTCACCGCAGCCCCTGGGATCTCCTGGGAGAGACTCTGGGAGGCCCCTATTTGGTGTCTCAGGTGATGTGGGGAGATTGAAATGAAGAACACTCATAGACACTTTCTCTTGGCCTGTTCTGAGTCTGGAAACCCAGGGACTGGGTTCCTTGCTCATTTCAGTCTTCCTGCGGGGTGAGGCCCTGAGCCTGCTCTGCTCTGGGTCTGTTCGTCCCTATTCCTTTCTCACTTCCATAAAGAAGGACTGAGAGGCAGCAGGAAGCAAAAGCACCGGGAGGCGGGAGGCAGGAGCCAGAGAAGAGATGCACACTTCCTCTGGATTGCTGCAGGACAGGGCTGAGGGACAGACAAAGGGACCCTCTGTGCCTCCTTAGTTCTTCCTCTATGTCCTAGAAAGGCAGTGGAGACAAAGTGTAGGCCTGAAACTCATGGCCCAGGGAGAGCAGAGCAGTGTGGTTCAGTCACTCTGGTGTCTGGAGCCTTCTCTGTTGGCATTTCCTAAGTTGGGCAAAGACCCTCTTTCTCTCAAGTCATCCCACTCCCCCAGCCACCCAGTGCTTCAAGTCAGCTTTGTCATTCTTAGGTCCTGGGGACAAAGAAAGAGGGGGCCCTGCCAATGCCCTTATTCACCCCCAGCCCCTGAGAATTCTGCTTAGAGGTCAGGGAGGGATATGCCGGTCTTTCTGTCAAGACCCTGCTGGTTCTTTCCTCAAGGCTGTTTTCCCACTTGGCCACAGTGTCTTCCGGTTTTCTCTGGGAGGCCAGAGCAGTGGGAAAGGTGGGCTGGCTTGATTTCCACTTCTGCCTCAGACCCCTGGCCACCCGCCCATCCCCCTCTCGAATTTTCCTGGGGGAATCTTGGGTGGTGTTTGGCTTCAGGCCAAATGGGAGGGCAGCAGGACCAAGCAGAAGGCAGTCAGCTGACAGAAACCTGTTTGCCAAGTGCATTTTATTCATGGTCCATGTAGGGTGGGACAAGCTCAGGGATTATCCCTCCTGCCCACTGGCTTGGGTTTTGGGAACATGGAGAAGGAAATGACTGCAGAGGACACCAGTTCCCAGGGTCACGAAACTCAGAGAAATGGGCGGGAAGAACACGGAGAGGCAGGAGAGAAACTGGGACCTTAGTCTGGAGGAGGGACGCAGGGTCCAGAGAGAAAGGAGTTGCCTGAGACTCAGGGGGCCACACAGCTCCTGCCTCCCCTTCTAGACTCTTCGTTCCCCTCATGTGAGCAGGTGTGGGGTTCTTCAAATGATGGAAGCCCTATTCTCTTCTCTCTCAAGAACAGTTGAGATTAAGAATGTCTCCCTAATCTGATTAGCAACTGGGGGCAATGGGTACAGGCCTCAGATTTCCCCATTCCCACACCTTGCCTTCTCTGCAATGCCCCCAAACCCTAGGGTCTATCTCCCTTCAAATCCTCCTGCAATTTAAACTTGCTTCCAGTGGGGGGTGGGGGGGGGAGGGCAGGTATGGAGCCAGAGGGAGATAGACAAGCAGAGAGATGGCATTTGAGGGACCACCCCTTCCCACCATTCACATCTTCTTCCCCTGTTAGGGAGGATCCAGAGGCCATACTGTTTTGAAGTTCTCCAGACTGGGGGACACAGGGCTCTCCTCCCCTGATTTGGGTCCATGGGTTTCTGGAGAGAAGCCTTTCCCAGGACCCAGGTACTCCTTTGCCTCCATTGTGGGGTTTGGCTCTTCTTCCAGCCCCTCAGACCTGAAGGTCAGGAGCTGGAGCCTCTCGACAGCCCCCTGTCCCAGCCCAGCCAACAGAGGAAGCCCTGGAAAATGCCAGGGCCCTGGGGAGCACCCAGGTCCTGGGAATAAGGGATCTGGCTTGGAGGGCCCTAAGAAATGACCCTCTGTGGGGAGCGGGGGCATGAAGGGCCTGGAGAGGTGGGTCCAGTCAGAGGGAAGAGGAGGTGGCAGGGGAGGGGTGAAGGAGGCAAAGCTGGGCAACTTGTCTTGGGGGCTCCTCAAATGACAATCAAAGCGGCATGGGGCTGGGGTGGTGTCAAGTCCTAGAGAGAGAAAGAGGAAGAGGATCAGAGAGTGCCTCTGTTCCCTGGTGCCCCCCTTCTTCCTCCACTTGCCATTTCTTCTTCCTCTTCCTGGAAGCTTTCTCTCCCCTGCTGGGATTCAGGTCCCCAGTAAATGTCACCTCCTGGGGGAGCCTCCCAGTACTTCCCAGCCTGGGTGGGAGCCCTTGGTGATGCCTTTCCTCTGGGATCTGTACTCAAAATCAGGTGCTCATGTGTGTTACTAATGTCTGTGCCCCCAACTCCATGGCAGGAGTTGTGTGTCTTAGTCTCCTGCGATACAGTCCAGCCTGGTGCATAGTAAGTGCTCAATAAAAATGTGCTGACTGAATAAAGATATTCTTTGCTGCAACTCAATGAATATATTCTTTCCTCTCCTGGTCCCTACAGCAAAGAACTCAAGTTGCAGCTGGGTAAAGAACTGCTTGTATGACCTTGGGCTAGTCATTTAGCGTCTCAGGCCTTAGTTTCTTCCTCTGTAAAATCCCCTCTCCTTACTGAGACCATATGACATCACAGGTAATCAGGACCTGCAGAACTGGGAGGCCCAGGGCATGTGGGTGGGCCCCAGCCCTTGTCCCCTTCCCCATGGAGGGTGAGCCCCAGCTGTCCATCCCCTCCCTTCTGTCTCTCACCCAAACTCTTCGGGAAGCCCGCCTTCCTTCCAGTCCTGCCTAATCAGCCTCCTCCTCCCACCCCACCAGGACACTACAATCAGGGCTCCCAGCCAGGGGTCTCTGGGGGGGTGATTATACAGAACTTTATGCCACTTTCCATATTTCAAAAAGCCTAACTCCAAGTGCACATTTTTCTTAGCAAGCCCACATCACTTAATGAAAAGAACAAGCATCCAAATGGGGTCACATAGGGGGAATGATAGCTAATGAAACTGGCAAAACAAATTATGACTTAATACACCTGATTTATTGGATAGGAGCAAAATTTCTAAAGCCACATCTTCAGAAATATTCCCCCTGAAGGGAAAGTAGTAAAAATGATTTCTCCATGGAAAAGCATGGAGAACCCTGAAGAGTATACCCTCTCTTGGGTCACAGCCTTTCCCTTGGTCCTTGCATGCTATGAAGAAGACTGTTGCCGCCCCCTCCCTCCCAAGGAAGGTTGTGTCCCCGGGGGTCCTGTGGTCAGGGCTGTGTCACTCCTGGAGACTGCAGCTGGCTGGGCATATGGAGGAGATGGCCAAGAGTCCTCCTGCCCCTCTCCCACCCTCGCAGCCCTGGCCTGCTCTTCCTGCCTCTGGCTCTCAGGCCAGGCCACCCTTTCGCCCAGAAGCAGCTTCCTCTCTTGGCACCAAATGCCCTGAGTGACAGTGGAGGTGAGGTTGGCACAGTCTCTGGAATTCCAGCCAGAAGTGGGACAGGCCTTCCGGTGACCTAAACCTCCTTGATGGCCTGTGGAGCCCAAGCAAAGCCCCGGGAGGGACTTGGGGGAGTGCATGTGCTCCTGAAGGGAGGGGCCAAAGAGCACTTGAAGCTGGGGCTCCCCCAGAAACACTTTTTCTCATAGCTTCCCAAAAGGAGCAGCTCTGAGCCCAAGGCATTCCCAGAGCTGTCGGGTGAGTGGTGGTGGAAGAACAGGAGGGCTTGTTCAGGTGCTGTTTAGCTCCAGGTTGCCAGTCTGGTGGCCGCGAGTCCCAGCAGGCCCTGGTCTCCTACTCCTAGGCTTGGTTGCCCTCCCTGCAATTCTTGGGCCCAGAGTCAGGCACTTTTCATTCACTGAGTGGGGGGACGGGAGCCGCAGGCTGCATGGGGTCTAGCCTATGGCTTAGGGTCCCTTATTCCATGAAGTTGCCTGGAGGATAGCCTTGGGTGTCTGCATCAGAACCTGGGTTTGTCAAGTATTTCTGTGATCTTTTTCACAGAAAATCTGATTTTGTCCTTTCCCAGCTTTTAGTCCTATAACAACTGGGCTGTGCACCTTCTCAGTCCGTAAGCCATGTATTGCCACATTGGCTTTCCTCCTGTTGCACTTGCCTGTCTCAGGGCCTTTGTACATGCAGTTCTCTCTGCTTGCCATGCTCTCCTCCTTATCTTTGAACCCAGCTGACCTCTCTTCATATTTTGGGTCTCAGCTCAAATGTCACTGTCAAGGAAGTCTCCCAGGCTGCTTTCTGCACCCTGAGCTGCTCAGCAGTTAGCGCAGCTATTGCCACATATTTATTTGTAGGATTTTTTTTAAAGATTTATTTTTATTTATTTATGCATATAAGAACTGGGGTTTAGGCCAGAGGTGCGGGGGTGAGAGTATTCATTCACCATAGACAGAGTGGGGAGCAGAACAGGTGGATCAACTGAAATACACTGCTGAGGGGAGCAGCAGGTGGGACAGGAGAGGTCTGCAGTGCCATGTGGGTCAGCTCCCTGGCGGGGATTGAACTCGTGCTGCAGTGGTGATTATCACTGAGACTTAACCCCTAGGCCACCAGGGAGGACCTATTTATAGGATTATTAACTGAATGTCTGCATCCCTTCCCTTGCCCACCAGCTCCATGAAGGAGTCTTGCTCACACTGGCACCCCCAGCTCTAGGACAGTGCCTGGATATGAAATAGGAGGTGATCACACAGCTGTTGAAAGAAGAAATGAGTGAGTGGGTGAGTGAGAGAGTGAGTAGACTTTATCTCCCCTGTCTGTCTTCAGTTGAGCCTCCTCTTCCATGGCCCTAGCCTTGATTATGGTCCCATCTTCTTCTGCCTGGATTATCTTAGAAAATCTCCCAACACTGGTCTTATACCTCCTCCAACCCACATTCTCTATACACACCAAGGCAACTTTGTAAAATAAGTCTGAGCATGCCTCTCCTGCCTGGGCCCTCCTGCCCGTTCGGTTCAGTACAGTCCAACCCCTTAGCATGGCTTCTGAGGCAAACACCTGTTTGTCTTGCCAACCTCATCTCTCACCCTTCCTTGCTCTGACTGTGGGGAGCGGCTGGCAGTTCTCCAGGTCGTGTTTTACTAACACTGCTCCCTCAGCCTGGGCAACTTCCTCCACTGCTCTCCTGCTCAGGACAACCTTCTCCAGCAGGCGCTCCCCTGAGGACTGGCGTCTCCCCAAATCTTAGTAGTGTTCACTGACTGTCTTCCCAGCTCTGTTCCCCACTAGTTTCTGAACATCTTGAGGGCCATTTTTCATCTTGGAGCCCCCACACCTAATAAATAGCTGGTGCCCAATAAATGTTTGTTGAGCGAATGAATGACTCGTATTGTCCCTTGTCTGAGGCACCCTCACCCCTGTGCTCAGCCAGGAGGGTTCTCCCTCCTCTGTTTGAGACTCCCCGGGCCCTCCCTCATCCCAAGCACGCACGGTGGACACTGCTGCTGCTCCCTTTCTTCTCTCCAGAGATCTCAGGGGGTCCTTGGGGCCGCTGTGCCGACCACTGCTCCACCAGGGCCTGGTGGGTGAACAGCATGCTGTGCAGGAGCTGTGGGCAAGGAGAAGCAGGTGTGGGGGACAGGCTCCCCGGCGTGTGCTGTGTACTGCATACAGCTTTCAGTAACCAGTGGTTAAACAACGAAATGTGCTCGGAATGGTGGTTAGATCATGGAAGGATGGTACCTAGCACAGAAGGAGGTCTCTTCTCAGAGTGGGATCATTAAACACTCAGGGGTTATTCGGATCAACACCTCCTTCCTGCCCCAGGGACACCGGCGGTGGAGGGGGGGGCTAGGATGCAGGGGGACAAGAACATTGGAGGCTGATGCTCCTGGAGATGGAGGGGCGGGGCTGCCTTTTTGCCTACCTCACTCTGTGCTCCCACAGGTACCAGGGCTGGCCGGAACAGGGCAGGGGTGCCGAGCAGCAAGTGGGGGGAGGGCGGTGCCCGCACCTCCCACAGAGGATAGTTGACGACGATGAGCTTGCTGAAGTTGAACTTGTAAGTGAACCTTTTGCCTTTGGTCTTGTGCAGAATCCTCTTGTTGTAGTAATATCTGGAGACCCCAGGTTGAGAACAGAGAGTTGGCCCCATGGGCAGGGAACGGAGTGAGAGTCCCACCCACACCTGCCTCGCAGGCCAGCCAGACGAACCCGAGCCATTTCTGTGGAACCACTAGGCTTCTTACCACATGTGGGAGCATTTCCCAAGGCGTGGAGGGGCGGGAATTGGATCGGGCATCAGAAACCACAGCCCTTGCCTTTGAACTCTGCCCTCTCTGGCCACCTTGGCTGCCTCCTCTCACCTGAGGGCCCGGCTCAGCTTGTCATAATTCATCTGTGGTTTGCACTTCCTGCGGCCCCAGAGGCGGGCCACCTCATCTGGATCCTTGATGACAAATTCCCCGTACTCTCCCTGCTGCCAGGCGATGACATGGCGGAACTCCTCCTTCTGCAGCAGCTCTAGGATGAAGTGCCACAGCTGGATCTGCCGGGAGCCGGGCGAGGACTCGGCTTTGTAGGCCCAGTCAGGGAAGGCCAAGCCTGGGTTGGAGAGGGAGTGTGAGTGTGGCACTGCTTTGCTGGCACTGCTTAGCAGGTGCGTGGGCAGGAGGCCTGCAGGGGCTCACCTGAGATCCAGGAGCTGCTGGCGATGGGAGGGATGCCCTCGGACAAGCAGCCGCAGTGCATGTTCCACTCTGGGGGAGCCAGGGCTGTGTCTAGGCCTCTGGGAGAAATGGCCACCACTTAGGAGGAAGGGAAAAAAGGCAGGGGAGAGGGAGGTGAAAAAGAGAGGGAAGAGGGAGGCAAAGAAGCAAGGAACAAAGAAAAGGGAAGGCATGAAGGGAGAAAAGGGAGACTGCGGAACGGGAATGAGGTCTGAGGCAGGAAGTCCCCCCCTGCTCCCAAGGCAGGGCCCAGCTTCCTCCGGGGACCGACCGCTGCTGGCCAAGGGCTGAGTCAGGACTGGGGCTGGGGACGAGCCACTTCTAGAGATGGGGACAAATGTGACGGGGTCCTCTATCCTGCCCCTGCTGGGGGATTTAGACAGAGAATGAGCTCCCTTCTCAGGGCTTAATGGGATTGGTGTTTTTCCCAAGAGAAAACAAGAGAAAATGTAATTAATCATCGGCTTTTTCTAAACCATGACAAGGAGGAATTGGCAGGTGCTCACACCCACACCTCTTTAGGGCACAGGACAATTTTACACTTGAGAAGAGCAGAGATTCTGCATTTTTCACCCAGGAGCCCAGAGTGCCTAACAGAGTGCCCAGAGTGGGTCAGCAGGGCCCCAGACATGACTGTGGACAGATTCGGTGAAAGCAAACGAACTTGTCATTACTCCTTGCTTGCTTGTCTGTCCCTCAGAGCGTCGCTGTGGGGGGTCAGGAGCCCTGGGCTCTTGCTCACTGCTGACCCTGGAGCCCACCCTGGCCGGGTGCTCACACAGGCTCTGCAAAGACTTGCTCTGTTGCTGACAGGCCTGGAGGGAAATCTTGCTGGTTCTCAGTTCAGCAGGGGAGGGGAGAGGAGAAGGGGAAGAGATTGGGGAATGCACTCCATTGAGAGAAATTTGCCTGACACAGGCAAAGGGAAGAGAGAAGCTGAATAGGTCCCACAGTCTTCTAGATGGGGTAGAGGGTGATGTAAGAGACTTGTTTCCACCATCGCTCATGGAGGATGAAGCTATAGGCAGAAGGACTGGGTAGGGATGGAGGGGCTGCCATGGCGACTCAGGCTGCAGGGCCTGCTCCTGGGGGTGGTGGGTGCCAGGGAGTTCCCCAAATATCAGGACCACTAATAAACAGGGGGCCAGCTCACATGAGCTGGGTGGGTTCTGGTTTCCATCTCTGATAAAGTTGGGGTCCTCTAGTCTCAGTGGAACCTAATAGGCTGTGGGGCTTGAAGAGCAGGTGAGGGTTTGACTGGGGGCTGAGAGAGCGAAAGTCATGTGACACATGGAGTTTAGCTGGTGACTCTTGCTCCGAGTGCCCCTCACAGCTGGTGCAGCCTTAGGACTTCTGGAAAGCCACATATGGCAGTGTGTCTCAGCTCTGACATACTCTTTAAAGTGCAGATTCTGGTTCTGTTGCTCCAGTGGAAGCAGAGATTCTGAACTTCTAGCAAGTTCCTTGATGCTGCCGCTCTGCTGGTCCTTGGACTGGACTTGGAGTGGCCAGAACCCAGGGATACAGCAGAAAGAACTGTGGGTGTTAAAAAGTCAAGGAATCCCAGACACCGCAGGTTGTGAACCCCGCTACTCTCCACCCCATCCCAAGAGGTCATGGGGTCTCTTGCTCTCCCTTTCCAGGAAGATTAACTGACAAACCAACAACCCACTGGGGCAAGTGCTCCTGGGGGAACCTGTCTGACCCGGGCAGAGAGCATCTCTGGAAATGAAGGGAGGCGTGGCAGAGAGGGCCCTGACCACCCTGCCTCTGGGAGTCGGTTCGCCTCCTGTCCCTCTGTCTCTAACTGATCACTGACTTTCTGGGGTCTTTTTCTGAAGAAGGTGCCCCCCTCTTCCCCCACCCTCTTTTCCTACCCTGGTCATTGGAAGTTTCTCCTTCGTGTAACCTCCACACCCAGGGGGATCTCTTCCATCTCACCTGAGGGAGGTGTGCGGGAAAACAGGGTGCTGCTGTGAGACACTATTCCTTTTGGAGAAAGAAGGCAGAATTACTGTGATGGGTGCCGGGGCCTGTGTGGACTGAAGGTGTTTTGTGGGTTTTTTTGCCAGACTGGAAGACTTGAGACCTGGATGGTAGATTTAGGGTCTGGTTGCGCCCCTGCCCCCCAGCACACAGGGTGCTCTGTACTATGCTGAGCAACTGACATCTCCGAAACTTCATTCAAGCATCAGACCAGATGCAGCTCAGAGGGGTTGAGTAACTTGTCTAAGGTTATACAGCACTAAAAATGCAAACCCTAAATTCAAGGGCCACCTAGTAACCTACCCACATTGTTTCCCCTGGCATCCAAGGGGAAAAAACCCTAATAAAAAGCCGAAGTGGCATGAGTCGGCCAGGTTAACCCGGATGCTGCAGTCTCTCCCTGGTGTCTCCTATATTTGTGAGCATCTCTTGTGGGTCCTCGGTTCCTGAGGAGCTCCCCACCGGATCTGGAAGTGGAAATCCTTGCTGCCTGAAAGGCTAATCATTTCCCCTCAAGGCCTTCCTTTTCTGTGTGAGCCCCAATCTGACCCTGGGGAACACTCCGAGAGGCTTGGATTCTAATTCTACCTTCATGTTCAAGAACTGCTCTTGCTGTTTAGCCCTAAGTCTCTGAGTTGCATTTAAACCTACACGTTGGTGGTGATGCTCCCCGGGCTGGGGCCCGGGATGTGGGGGTGGGGGAGTAGTAGTTTCCCTGTGTCCCTTCAAACCCCAGCCCCAACCCTTTCCCCCCTTTTGTATTATAAAGTCTTGTGGCAGCGCTAACAGCTCCGCACAGCCCCCAAACCAGGATCTGTGCAGTGACCCAAGAGAACGAGTATTGAGAACCATAAATCAAAAAGGATCATAACCCAATCTTGAATGATCAGAGCGACTCTCTTATATACTTTTTCCTTCTTAAAGGGATATAGCAGCAAGCGATTATCATTGTCATCCTCACTGTCATTCTGATTACCAATAGTATGATGAATCACCTTGGCCAGTATAAGTGTTCCTTATAACACATGTAGGGTTTAGGTCATTATTTAATAAGAGCAATCGAGAGAACCAATAAGGAGTAAGCCTGAAGCTTGGACTTGGAGCCAAAGCAATGTCCAAAGCAGATTCTGCCTTTCTTCAGAGTTTATTTAATAAGAAATGGGTCCCCATCGTCTACCAACAATGGATTCAGCTTATTTTTTTCCATGTTACTTCACTGAGTCTTCATAATAACCATTTGAGGTGGTTACCATCTCCATTTTGCAAACCCAGGAAATTGAGGCTCAAAAGATTAAAAGACTTGCATAAGATCCCAGTCAAGTGGCGAAGCCGGCTGGGAACAGGTCTGTCTGACTGCAGGCTCTGAGCTGTAATCAGTCAATCAGGGTAGGAAAGTTGAGGATGAAACTCTGGAGCCAAGAGACGAGGCTGGCGGGAGGCCCCAGGTTCTGAAGTAGGGGCTCCAGTCTAATCCACGGTGTGAGCTTTTGCCAGAAAAATTATCAGCGGAGGACCCAGGAAGCCAGAGAACAGATGATAGGGACACTTCCAGAATCACATACATATAAAGTGGGGGAGTTTAAAACCAACCATTACAGTTACGCAAAGTAGAGAAGAAGGGAAGGTGCTATGTGACTGGCCTTCTGAGCGGAACGACCCAATAATCTGGTGGACTGCAGACAGCAAGACTGCTTGGCGGTGGCTCAGTGGGGAAACTGGGACTGTTTATAGAAACAAAAGCAAGCGAAAGAGACAGGGCAGGGCTCAGCAAGAAGGAGTGAATCAGAGAAATCAGCAGCGTGGACACAAGTGAGGTCTAGAGGTGGCCGGAGGGACTGAAAGGTTGGAATTGAGAAACCAGTCCGGGACGACAGTGGAGACACAGAAGGTTGCGGCGGGGTGGGGCTGGAAGGAGGGTGCTAGTTCACGTCTATTAGCGCTGTGCAGCCCCCGCCCCTCCACCACACAGGCAGATCTGATTAGGAAGCCTCTGGTCACTTGCCTTGATTTCAGCCACAAGTGGAGAGCGGTGAGTCCTGCGACCTCCCCTAACGCTATTAGCTAAAGCTGCTTAAGTAGGAGAGCAAGCCGGCTATGGCCAGGGAAGGGCAAAGCCAATCACCTCTGGGGGATTTTTGGGGGTGGGGGGACAAGGGTAAATGTCCTTTCCTCACTGAGACCCTGAAGGCATGTCATCCCTCCTGCCAAAGAGCCCATGTCTGGGGCAGAGTACCCCTTCTTAATGCTTCCGTGGTGGGGACTCTATTGGCTGTACACCACTTTCCTCCAACAGCCTCAGCCCCTCAGGCCCTGGCCCATCTACCGGGACAGGCACTCCCCTCTCCACCCTCCCCTGAGTCACACCTTTCTTCCGCCTCCCCAGTCCCAGCCCAGCCCCCCACTTACTGCCCCAACGCACCCATTGCTAGGTCTCAGTTCTCTGCCCAACCCCCCTAGTCCCCGCCCTTTGAATACACTCCCACATCCCAACCCTCCCATCCCCCCCACGGGGTCCCTGGGGGGCCTTGGGATTTAAAAGGCTTGTGCAGCTCAGTGGAGTAGAAATCCAAATCCAGACACTCCCCTGCTCTACCCCCAGACCTGTCAGAAAGTCACTGGGAAGTCACATACTCCTCAGAGACCCAGGGACCAGGAGGTAGGACCTGGGGGGGTCAGGAGACCCTCGCTCTGCCTGGCCTTTCCTGGTCTCTGTTTCACTAAGTTTGATCTTTTAATCTCCAACTTATTCGTCCTTTATTACAGTTTCTCTCCTCTTCCCTCCCAGCCTAATTCTTCTTTCTTTCTTTCTACTGCCTGGCCCAACCCTCATCTTAATCTTATTTCCCCCCACTATTCACTTTCTTTTCTCTGCATTGTCCATCCTTTCAATTCTCAGTTTCCATTTCTGTCTTTGTATCTCATATCTATAAATCACAGGTGTCTATCTGGCCTCCCCTAAGCCCCTTTCCCTTCTCCAAGCGAGGTCCCTGCCTCCCTTCCCAAGAAGCCCTCGGTTGCTGTCTCTCTCACTGTCTC